ATCCCGCGTCGTACAGGCTCTGTGTTTGCGGGTCGGATGACCGTGGCGACGCCGGAAAGGACACCGGGTCTATTGGCACGAGCTTGACCCTCTCCCGGAGTCGTGGCGTATGTTTCGCATCATATTCTGGAACGCTGACCCCCGGCGAGATCAGTTCCCCAACTTTGTCGTGAACGGCACGAGCAACTGGGCGTCGCCGCAGATGGAGATGGCCACGCAGAGCGACTGTGTCACAGTGTGTGCTCAGCTTTGCAAGGGCGACGTCATCACTATTCTGACGAATATCGGTCGCCGCACGGTTCTGTTGAGCTAACTCTGCTCCGACGATCTAACCGAAGCACGCCACCGTCACCGTTTATACACCTTGGGATATATCGACGTCGACAAACAAGTAAGCACGCCTCCGCTCGTTTCATCCCTCGGAGCCGGAGCCGGACCTGAAGCACCCCCTCGCAGGATCATGTCGCGCGAGAAATACCTCGTCGGGAGCAACGGCACCATCTCACGGACTACCACGAGCGGTCGGCCCGCGGTCTTCATGCCGGACCTGCTCCTCAACTCGTCGGGCGTGTTGCAGGTTCGAGGGCCCGAACCAGTACGTTGAGCCGCCCGTCGTGGCGCAGGTCGCGAGCGGCGCTGCGGGCGTGCTCGGTCGGGGCGCGGTCAGCGGTGCGTTGCTCGGCTTGGTGATGTGTGTTTGGGGCGTGGTGGCGCGGTGAGTAGGTTGTTCGCGTGCGCGAGGCTGGGTGTGGTGTCATGCGGCGGTGGACGTTCAGACGTGTTGACGACATTGACGGGGAGGTTCAGTGGTCATTCCACGTTAGGGTTTTCTGTGTCTATTTGCCGGATTGTTCAGCTTGAATAGGCCTGGATGTCGTCAGTAGCGACGGGATGGGTAGGAGGATAATGGGAAACGTTATGCACTGTGCCTGTAGGATAGTACATTACGTGGGACATTATGGGTTTGGATTTCCAACTGGCATGTGACGTAGTTGTGCATAGGCTTCGCTGAGTCCTGGCATCGCTGTCGTGTTCACCTTGGTTCGCGTTGATGCGTACGTTGATGTTCATGTTCGCACCCATCCATGCAAGTACACACATATGATCATTTAAATATGGAAGTCGAGTCCAGGGGAGTCAATGCGAGGAACAGGAACCATACAAGTCCATACCAACCGGCGGAAGCCAACGCTACGTGTAACATTTCACACACTCTCCTCCTCGGGAACCCCCAGTATCTCCATGAATATGCTGAAGGACATCTTTTCCTCCCTCTCCTTCTCCAGCGACTCAATCTTCGCCCGCTTACGCTCCAGCGTCATCCTGGGGTTATTGACAACATTCGTGATGATGGCCCTATCAGTTTCGATGTCGCCGAATTGATACAAAAGGTTCATCAGCGGAGTGCCTTTGGCCAGCAGCGGCTTCAGAGTATCGTGGGCGGTTTTCATTACGTTGCGACGAATTGATTCTTCTTCCAGAAACCTCCGTTTGTTGTCCCCGATGGCGACGAGGGAAGCACACTGCCAATCCTTGATGTAGCCGAAGGCCTGCTCGTCTGGGTTGTATGCCGCAGCAAAGTAGATATAGCCGTAGAAGAACGACTCTAGGTCGTGTCGATACTTATGGATGGGTGGATCGCCCACGCGCAAGAGGTCCAATGCCATGAACGGGCCCGTGCCCGTGCGGTACCTTGGCTTGACTACGGCCTGGGGCTCTGTCGCCGTGTTCGACTGTCCCGCGCCCTCCAGATTTTGGGGCTGTTCCGTTGCTTCACCCTCAGCGATGGATGGCAGACTCGGTTTCGTCGTCGACTGCGCCGCTGGTTCTGGTTCTGGTGGCCAAATCACTGCAGCAGCGTCACCAGCACGACGAGTGGGTCTGTTGTCGCCCGTACTCTGGTCTTCCGCAAGGTCCCAGTCGCAAAGAACACCGATGATCCGCCCGTCTGGCAGTCGATACCACATGATGTTGTTGAGGCTTATATCACGATGCAGGATCTTCGACGTCTCGTACACCCAGTGATGAGCTGTAGTCACAGTCAGACGAAGCTAAGACTCGATGTTCACTATGCACGTACCACGAACGACATCAAAGAACACGATGCGGAAGTTATCTCCGGATCCGATGGTCTCCAGGGGCTCGTACTCCTTGAGGACCAGAATGCGGCAGACTCGTAGCTCATCTGCCCCGGGAACAACGCCCAACTTGAAACGAGGGAGGTGCATCTCTTCCGAGTCTCCGCTCTTCGTCATCGAACACTTGAGGTCCACGATGTGCTTCAAGTAGTTCGGCTTGCTCTCCGCCAGACGTCTGCGAACGGCCTTGATCATCGCGTCCTCCGCCTTCCGGACAGCGTGCGGCCAGGCCACTTTGGCAACAAGAGCCTCCGATCCGAACAGCTCTTCCGTCTTCGTGCCGGGCGCCGCAACCACGGGAATGACCGTCGTCCCTCGTCCGATCATGCCAAACTCGGTGTAGATCGTGCGGCGTTGGCTCGACTCCGAGTCTTCCAGTGCTCCCTCCACCGTCTCCGAGGCTCCCCGGCTCGCTCGCTGCGCACCGCTCGTTGCAGTCTTCTTCTCTCCTTCTTCGCCCGGTGCATGTCCCTCATGTTGCTCTCGCTGACATCGAGATTGAACTCGACATCGACGGCGGTCCCCTCGTCAAGTTCGACGGCAAGTCGAAGCTTCGAGCCTCGATACCCGTTGTCCAGACAGAACTGGTCGTGCCCGTGCGCATCCTTCGGGTAGTGGACGCACGGGTGAATCCCCAGGTCGTGCACATCGGCGGTCCCCATGGCGGCGAGAATCAGCAAGAGCAAGCTCGCGTCCTTGTCCAGAAAATCGATCGGCTTCGTGAAGATGATTCCCATTCGGTCGCCATAGACGAGCCTCAGCGTGCCGGAGTCGACCAGCCATGCGATCGTATACGAGCGTACGTTGTGGGACATCACCTGATTCATGTATTTCACCACCTGCGCCTGTTTGCCGATTATCTTTGACCCTTCAGAGGCAGCAGAAGGCGACTCCGAGTCGGGCTGGTTCTTGCTGCGCTTGCTCTTGGTATTCAGAGCCTCTTCGGCTTCTCGCTTTCGCTTGCTGCTCGACGATGTCGACGACTGGCCTTTCTTCTTCGTCTGCTTGGGCTGCTTCCCAGGAACGTAATCTGCATCATCGTCGCGAGCGGCTTTGGACGATTTCCCCTTTGCCTGGCCACGACGATCAGGCATCTGGGGAGGGGGTCAATGAGATCCCAGTCGCGCGACTCGCACGCAAGAGCACAAAAAGAGAACACACCTCCACAACAAACGTCTTCTGTTTCTCGTCCCAGCGAAGCAGTATATCGCTCAGAGAATCTATGATTTCCTTGCGTTTCGCACCCGTCTTCCCTTCCATTTTGAACTCCATCGAAACCAGCTCCCACTCCCAGAAGGGTCTGCCGGCCGTCGTGCTGTACGCAAGGTCCGGCTTTTCATCAATACCGAAGTTGCCCACCGCCTTGACATCCCGGATCTCGAACCTTGCTGGCCAGGGGCGCATAACTTGACCGTTGCGCGAAGAGTTGTTGGCCCATCGCCGCTGGAGGGCTTGACGTCTAGCCACAAGGCTCTCGTCGGGAGCTTTGCCGGTCGAATGCGGGCCATATAGCTCCTCCAGAAGCGCGTCCCCTGCGCGAGCGAACGGCTCATAACCATTCCTCTCGTTACCCTCCCAGTATTTCTTGAGTTCGACCTTGGATATAAAGTACTTCTCGGGGGGGATATCCTTCGTGTTCGATGGGTCACGATAGGGCTCCCGCAAGGCCTCAATGTCGGTCCACTGGCAGCCGAATACCGCACGAACAAAGTCCTCGACATCAACGTCCCAGTGAGTGTAGTCTTTGTATGCGCCCTGAATGTAATGCTGGTGATCGTCCGAGAGTATGTTGTTACCAGGGCGAGTGGCCGTCTGAAGTACATGGTAAGGACTGCCTCTAGCCGGCGTGGCGGTGATCTGCGTTTCTGCTGCAATGAACACAGTGAGTGCAAGGATCAGTACGGTCAAGATATCTCACTTACGCTCTGTTTGTTTCTCCTTCCCTTTCGACGGTGTCCTGGGCAATGCAGACTCGGACTGTTTACTACCCATCGTTGAGCGGGCGAAGAGCCGAAGTGAAGAAAGCTCTAGTGATCTATCCTGGACGATGACGAACGCCCGAGGGTGGTGTGGCGGCTCTGCGCGGAGGGAGAGTTGTGGCCAGATGCCTGCGAGTGGGAACGGACCACATTGTACCTGGGGCGCGTCCATGTTTATATACACGCGTATGCGTGGTGAGTGAAGAGTGTGCTAGAGTGTGGCTGCCCGAATTCAGACTCAGCGGTGTGGCCGGTGAGTCACAGAGAACAACGCACCGCGGCGCCCGTCGTGGACGTGGACGTACAAGTTCAGCAGCGCTTGCCAAATCGGGGAGACAATGCAAGCAGCCACACTGATCAGTGATGGCACCGTGGGAAGGTGCAACCTAGGTCCCCGCCCCGCCGAAGAGCCTGCTCGATGCCTTCGTTCTGTCAGAGACCTGGCGCAGCTCCAGTTCTTGCAGGCGGGTGCTTGAGTGATTTGTTCGCCGCAAGCGGTGCTGAGTGCAGGCCAGGGCGGTTGGACCAGGGTTGGCCACTCACCTCGGGCGTCTAACGGCTCAGCCATAGATCTCAGATCTGCGCCTCGACATGTCCGGACATAGGCAATGTCCAAATCTGTGAGGCTGCAGTGCCATGGCAGCGCTGCATTGTCTCAGCGTGAGTGTCCGACTGCCTCATTGAGGACGCTTGCGTCAGTATGCCATATTCAACGGCATCTCATAGGCTGGGAAGTGCACATGCGGCCACAACCTTGAGACAGTTTCAAAATAGCGTGTCGTAGTACGCAAGACGGCCACGGTTGGAGTCAGCAGTCTCTGGGACAATTGGTACTGTGTGTTGAGGAAATACAACGGCATTCGCGCTCTCGCATTAGCTTGAATTACACGTCGATTACCGCGACGACGGGATATCGAACTAATCTCACTGAAGGCTCGCTCGACGAAAACAAGCCGCTCTCTATCGGCGGCACCCTCGATCGAACCAGCCGCCACTCTGTTCGCGCAACCTCCATCATCATCGCCCATGCCTGGCCTTCCGCCACAGTACCTGCCTTGTCGAAACGGGGGCTCCCACAAACGTCCCGCGCGAAGCCCCACCCATCCCTCTTACCCACTGCTGCCACCTTGCGCATCTGCTCCGCCGTATGCAGCCACCCGTTCATCTCATCGTCGCCGAGCTCCGGTAGGTAGCACGGGCCCGACAACTGGAACCCCGAAGCGTGTCTGCGGAGGAGGGCGAGGCAGAAGATAGTGTAGGCGAGCATCTGGGGCAGGTTCGTCTCGACAAACGTTGAGCGGTCATCCAGGATGTCGTGAAAGAGCCCATCAGGCCGCATGTGTTTTAAGCACGCGCGGAGAGTCAACAGGAGTATCGAGCCGCACTGTCGGATGAGCGGCATATTCGCTGCGTTGCCCGCGATCGTCCTAGAGAGCTCAAACCGCCGGTCGACGTTGTTTCGGCTCGTCTCCGCAGCCTGAGGGCGGACGAGCATGCCGAGCACTCTGACAATGCCGCAGCACGCCCAGCCGTTCCCGACGCCCCACCACGCCTTTCGCTTGAAGTCTTGCGCATCGAAGTCATAGATGTGTGACCACTCCCCACTCGGAGCTTGCAGCACCTTTGCTGCGTGGACGATCTGCTGTAGGCCATATTCGATGAGGAAGGCGGGAGTCATGGAGTCATTGACGCCGTTGTTGTATCGGATCTGTGACAGCGCCGTAGCGACAAGAAAGGGCGGGAGCATGTACACCGTTTCGGACCATATCTGCTTGCAGTCGATGCGGTGTGAGAACGTTCCCGAAGCACGGGGACAACTCATTATGATGTAGCGATACTGCTTCTCCACTGCGTCGCGCAGCGTAGAGCTCGCCGCGTTCCTAGCCGCGTGGAAGGAGTCCCTGCCCTAGGACACTCCGGTCGATCGTGTCGCCTGCGTTCCTCCTCCTCCTGCGAGTAGCCAGCAGATCACGTTACCCATGCTGGCAGGATCAGCAGCACCTGGATCAGTCGAGCCGTCTCCGTTCAGGAGGACGCTCAGCCGTCCGTCAGGTGCCTGCCGTACGACTGATTCGTGGGCCAGTGCATAAATGAGGCTGATGAAATCGAATGGCTGAGGGACAGGTGGGCATATGCTGTCACGGGAGTCCCAGAATTCCTGGCATTCAAGGATCGCGTGTGCCGCTACATCTTGTTCCTAGGAGGCCCGCTGGGTAGTACAAAGGAGGGGAGATAGCAAGATTCGAAGGCGTGAGACCGGTTCTTGTATTATGCCCCTTGGTCACCGTTCGCTGCAGTACAATAGGTGCCTTCAGAAGTTCCATGGAGTCAAGCCAATATCACCTGTAACGTGTCAGGACTCAGATACCCTCCTCGAGAAGCTTCAGCATCGTCATGAATGTGCTAAAGGACATCTTGTCCTCCCGCTTCTTCTTCAGCGACTCGATATCGGCCCGGTTGAGTTTCGCCATCTGAGGACTACTTGCACGATCCTCAATAAAATCCATGATGACCTCGACTGTGCCGAAGCGATAGAAGAGGGCCGTCAGGGGACTGTCTTCGTCTAGCAGTGGCTTGAGGGTATCGTGGGCTTGTTTCACGATTGCTCTGCGGACCGCTGGCTTCTTCAGGAACTTGCGCTTGTTGTCTCCGATGGTAATGAGCGAGGCATGCTGCCACTCTTGGATGTAGCCGAAAACGAGCTCGTCAGGGTTATATGTGATCGCAAATAGATGTAGACGTAGAGGAATGACTCAAAGTCGTGACGATACTTGTGGATTGGTGGGTCGCCCTCGCGCAAAAGGTCCATTGCCATAAACAGGACCGCCGTGCCCGCGGGGTACCTTGGCTTGACTACGACCTGGGACCCTGTCACCGTGTTCGATGGTCCCGCGACCTCCGGATTTTGGGGCTGTTCCGTTGCTTCACCCCGACAATGGCCGGCGGATTCGCCGTCGCCGTCGCCTGCGTGGCTGAATGTTCTTTCCGGTCTACTGCCAAATCACCGCAGCGTTGTCGCCAGCACGACGATTGGTCCTATACTCACCTATGCCCCGATGATCTTCCGCAAGGTCCCAGTCACACAGCACGCCGACCCGTTCATCACGCTCATACCACATGATGCTATTGAGCTCAGTGTTGCGGTGTAGCATCTGGTATTTCTCGTAGTACACCCAGTGGTGCACTTGCAGACATGTACACTGAGGCCGGCCACATACCACGAACAGCGTCAACAAACACGCTATGGAATCTTCTCGCCGATCCAATTGCCTCCAGCCTTGGTTCGTATCCCCTAGTAATCAGTGTACGAGAGACTCTGGGAAGGCAGTAGTCGGTGCTGTCGCCCGTTGCAGGACTTCAAGTTGGGGTAGGGCCATTGATATCTTTAGAGAATTGGCCAGTTGAAGTCGAAACAAGTTGAACTGGCAGCAGCAGTAGTATGCAGCGTCCGCAGGGTGTCTCACGAAGCCACACCCATTTTCCCAATATAGCAGGTGTAGTGAATAGCCCTTAGTGTCGTGGCGCCGCTGAGTTCGGTGCTGTTCAATGCTCCCATTTCGACTTACGGCGAGAGCTCCCATTGCCACATATATAGCTCTGCTATTATTCTTCGATTCAAACCCAAGGACCATCCACGCAGTCCAACGGCGACCAGTGGCCCGCTCGTCTGCCTCCGCTGCGCAACGCGCTCTCCGAGAGTGCCCTAGGGCAAGGAGGGTTGCGTGATCTACTACGTGTTCGCCGCCCTGCTAGCATTCGTTTTAAATCAAATCTGATAAGATTGCCAGTGGGTCAGACCGAGACGGGTGGAAGGCACTGGCAGTGTGCTTAAGACCATTGACATCACTTCAGTACTGTGTTACATGCCCGTGCCGTCGATATTTACCAAATGAGTTCCAGCGTAGCTCAAGAAGACCCAGTTCCAAGGACATCGCAGATGCAAAACGAGCGGCATGCACATCCAACAATATATACACGGTTTTTCAGCTTACTCTATTTCTGTGATCATCATACAACCAAGGCAATACTATACTGCGGAAGCGCAAAAAGCGGACGCGAGCACAGCGGCACGTACATATGGGTAAATGGCAATGCGTGAGCGACGACGTTGACCGAGGTGTGAGTAGGTACTGAGATATGCAAGAGCCGCAGCCTCCATGCGCGGCACGGAAACTCGGCCCCAATTACGCGACGAGGAGATGGAAGTGGATGAATTATGGTCAAGCCAGTGCGAGCGAAGAACGGGGCATGGGGAACACATAAACAATCAAAGAGATCGAGGAAACAAGACAACGGGGTACGAGAACAAGAGTGTCGAGGGTGTGTTGCGATGTCACGACGGTACCGAGTCCCAACGCACGAGAACCTCAGTCCCAGAGTAGTTTGCACTTAGCTTCATCTGCATCCGCCCCGTCCTCCTCAGATCTCCAGCGGCTCGTGCGAGCGCGCCTCGAACCCGCCCTGCCCGCCGTTGCCCGTCTGGCTCTCCCGCCGCTCCCGCCTGCTCTCAAAGCCGCCCACACCAGGGCCGCGCGGCTGCCTGAGCACGCCGCCGGGGCTCTCCAGAGGGCTGTTCATGCCCCCCACGCTCGACGGCAGGCTCGGCACAGGTGGGATGCCGTTGTTCCCGAAAGCGCCCCCGTTGGCGAAGAGCGCAGCGAACGCACCGGGCGAGCGACGCGACGGCGACGCGATCGTGGCGTAACCCTCCCGGATGTTCCCGTTCGACGCGCGTGTCGTCAGCCGCGGCGCAGAGGCGGCTGACTGCAGCGACTTCATGTCCGGCATCGACTTCTTCACGCGCAGCGCGTTCGGCATCTGCGATGATGTAGCCGACAGGTACGACGACAGCGCACGCGAGAGCGTCTGGCGCGGGCCAGGGTTCTGTCCCTGCCGGTGCGTGAGTACGTCTGCGTGACACGAAGCGGGAGAAAGAGGCATACCGCATTGGGATCGATCCGCGTCACCACCGCATAGCGCTCCTCGCCTTCGCCAACCGAATAGTGGTACACGCCGAGCTTCTGTGCAACGAGATGGACCACACGTCGCTGCTTAGGGGTAAGCGTACGCGAGAAGGCAAGCTCGTCCCGCATCGGATCGTCCTTGAACAGGAGAATGCGCGAATAGATCTCCAGCGTCGCCGGGTCGTTGAGGTCGAGCTCCGTGGAGGGCGACTTGAGCCCGCTCGGTGTGACGGGCTGACCGAGCGACGGGGTCGACACGTTGAACGGTTGAGGCGTGGGCATGGGTGGCAGGACCGTAGAAGGCGAGAACGCCTGCTGGCTCTGATACACGCTCGACGCAGAGAACGACCGTTGTGGAGTGAACGGCGTCGGCAGCACCTGACCGAACTCGTCGTACGGGGTCGTCGCCTGCTGGGCGTGATGCGCGATGGCCTGCTGTTCTCTCTCGAGCTGCATGGACTTCATGCGCCGGATCGCCTTCTCTCGCTCGATCCGTTCCTTCTCACCCGCCTGCAAAACCTTCTTGTACTCCACGCGCAGCTTGCGGCCCTGCACGTCGAACCCGTTCAAAGCGGCGACGACATGGTCTGCATCTACGGCCTGGCGGAAGTTGGCGAAGGCGAGGCCGCGGAACTGGCCGGACTGGTCGAGGTGGTAGTTGAACGCGTATGGCGTGGGGATCGACAGCGATGCCTAAATGTTTCGCTATCAGAGTCTGACCTCGGTGAGAGAGCTAGCGAGAAATGTGCGCGATGGGCAAACGAGCATCGCTATGATTCGTACCCTTCAGGAGGGCCTACAGTGTGCAGAAAAGGTCACATCCTCACAATAAGCCACATGACTATACAACTCAGCTAGGAGAGCACACCCCACGACTCGCATAGGCTCGGCGAGTAGTGTGCTGTCCATGATTCAGGCTGGGTCGTGTCCGTCGATTTACGTAGTCGAGGGGGCGGGCCCGCTGCGCCCATCGGCCATCCCAACAAGGCATCGGGCACGGCAGCACCATCCAGCGTCGTCAACACCCGGTAGTCCAGAATGCCCACTAGCACATTCTCGCGACAAGGAAAGGACGTACGATTATATCAAGCAACGTCTCGCGTTTTACGTTGAAAGGTATGTTCTTGATAACAATTGCAGTGGGTATGATCTCGTCGTCCGCACCCAAGCTCGGCGTGCCGGGCGTGACGGGAGGCTGCATGGTCGTCCCGGGAGGCGGCGATCCGCCAGAAGAGGATAGATCTGAGTTGTTGTGGGGCGAAAGCGAGCGGTTGTCGCTCATGTTAGCGTTGTCGAGCCATTGCTACGCAGACGCATGTCAGATCACGGCAGGCAATGTAGCCATGAGTAGTCGATAACGCACAGAAGGAAGACCCCCACGGAGGACTGGCCTGTTCTTGAGCGGGGACTGGCCCATGCCGCCGAGCGGGCTGTACTGGGACTGCGCCGGGATGGGCGGGGAGGTCTGGAAGTGATACGGGCTCTTGCCATTGCCGCCTGAGTTGCCTTCGTATTCGTAAGATTCATGAAGACGTTGCTGGGAGGGCTGGGAAGTGAGCGACAAGGAGGAGATGTCGGGGGTGGAGGAAGAACTGGTCATGACTGCAGAAAGAGACTATCGCCGGTGGTAATACAGGTCGTCGTGAGCCGTCGTTAGAATAATGGGTGGGAGATAGTGAGCAGGACAATGCAGACGGCAGCAAGCAGAAGATGGTCGGTGATCAGTGGAAAAAGAGTAGCCTCCCAACTAGGCGCCCACCCCTACTCCCAAATCAGCTTCCTGTAACTCCGACTCCACGAGGCCCCGTCTGTCTCTCCCCTCGCCCGCTTTGGACAGCCCCGACGAGGGCTCTCTATTCGATGTCCTGTCTACTACCAGTTTTATCCAACATGCGAGCCACGTTGAACCCGCACAGGTCGCTTGTACGGTTTAGCCGCTGACTCGATATCTTTCCCATCCCCACCCCATCCGGCTCTCAGCCACCCGGACCACCAGCACGAGTGGGGATCAACGTACGGCAGCCGGCGATGTTCTGTCCAGCTTCGGATGGACATGAAACAGGCTGTGGTTGAGGTGAGAAGATGGATGAGTCTCAACTGTCGTGATGCGACACTGACGCAAGCACAGGACACTTCAAGCAATTTAAACGGGTACTGTCTAGTTGAGAATACAGCTCGATGGAGGGCACCATGTTATTTGCGATGGCCTCCTATGTCGTCCCCGAGAGGTAAGCTTCAAGAACAGATAACTCTCTGATACAAGTCCATCAGGCAGAGTCAACATCTCCCGAACTTGCTGTACGCACTGCGAACCCAATGCGAACCGTGCGTGTTTGTGGACATTGTCTAGGGTTCGAAACTAGATGGCTTGATTCAATTGGTCATCCACAGCTAGACTGATCGTCAGGGGCGCTTGCACGGATGTCTCTGTCCTTGACACCTCTTTCGTATTCTAGGGATCGCCCCAAGATCGCTCCTTGCTGCCGTGAAACCAAGAGAGCGTCGCTTTTAGGGTCAAGAAAGACAGAGGTAAGTGCCACACTGTGCTCGGGCTTCTACTTTGTGGAACGAGAATGCACTTGCCATTGCGAAGCTTCTTTCGAGGAGAAGCTGCGATCCTTTATCTCTGTCTTGAATCCTTGTTATGCGCCGCTAGCCTCGTTATGCGGCCGTGATACGGGTCAGTCTATGAAATGGGACGGCCGCTGGCGCAGAGACAAGGTCCTTGCTCCTGCCGGAGCGAGGTGTTTGATTGAACCGTTCGGGGCCCTGACTTGGCACGGGCTATTGATAATAGCCTGTGAGGATGTCCACAAGCGTGCTCACCGCCGCTTCGTATGCTCCTTGGGGCAGCATGTATCGGGTTACGTCGAGCCATGTTAGCCAGATACCTTTACTGCGGTTGGGGATGGAATGCGTAGATCCCTGACGATGCCCGAGGCGGCTTTGTTGGCTGAGCGCGAGGGCTTCAAGACGCAGAGGGCAACCTCACATTCTTGGTGTCCGATCCTCCTATGTGAGATGGCAACCG